CAAGTACTGGTACATGTAATCTATAATCCGTTGTAATTCGTTTTCAATGAAAGTGTTCCTAAGAACATGCTTCGATTTATAATGAACAAGTTTAACAGTCAGACATTTACTCAAAATGAAGCATTTTATAGGTCATTCAAAAATATGTACACAAAAAAATGTTTGAACCAGCATGACACCAGGTGGGTTTATTTTGCAACAGCCTTGCCTCTTTGAAATTCTGAATTCTCGCTAACATTGGACTCAAAAAGCACAACCATGCCAAATGTGTCTTGTTAATGGAAAGGGAAAAACGCTGCAGATGAGACTGAATTACCATTTCATAAACAAAGCAAGGCAATGCAAACACGGCATCAATTATAAAGCAACTCCAGAAACTTATTCAAGAGGTTACGTGAGCAGGTACGACATACGATGAAGATATGATTAGTATGGGCTTCTCACAGTAGCAGGGTACACACGTTTGAAACTTTTCCCATATGAAAACATAAATAGTTCTAACAGCCTTTTTACATTAATAACGACTACGACGACAGCAGCAGCAGCCGCCACCGCCGCCGTTGTCGTCATCATCATCGTCATCATCATCTCTGATTTATATGTTGTGTGTATCCACCAACGCTGGGTGCTCAAGGCGCATCGTTATCCCTGCACACTGGGCTCCCAACAACTGAACATTCCTGAAACCCTCTCAGCTCCTTGGGGAGTATACTTGGTGATGCTGCCCTGTCAGGCGCACACGGCTAACATAAACAAATCTGCCCTCACAGGTACCCATTTTACTCCTGGGTGGAGAGAGGCACATAGGGGGTAAAGTGACTTGCCCAAGATCACAACATGCTGCCACCAGCTGGATTCGAACCCCCGACTCGATGATCAGAAGCTACAAACTCTAACCGCTAGGCCACGTGCCCCATATCTTTTTACATTAGATTTACAAGCTTGACATACTATGCAGATAATGCAGATAATATAAGAAGACTTCATTAGATGACTACAATACATAAGGTCTACAGAAATAATATTGATCTCTCTGTGGAATATCTGAATATTATCTTCACAAAGTATGGAGGGCCTGACGTTTCAATCTTAGCAGAATCTTTTTCAAAGGCAAAATGAGAAGTGGACAGGACAAACAAGCAAAGGGGAAATCAACCAAGCGTGGATGAATGCAAGAGGACAACAGGAAAGGTCAAGAAAGCTGCAGGCTGGATATTATCTTGATGAATAACTTAACCACGGTCAACTTACAAAGGCCTACTAACATTCTTTACGCCCCTCCCTCAATGTAATTCCAACTTGCACTATGACGGCTCTGCAAACCTTACCAGTGAGTGGCTTGGGAGATGCAGCCAGCCGGCATGGCGGGCCAGCGGGTGTCGTCTCCCCGACGGCTTCCAGCGGGCCGGGAGGTACGTCCAGGGCCGCCCTCTCCCCCGACCCCTCCTCGCTTTCCTCCAGGGTGTGGAAGGGCAGCATGCTGAAGTTGGCCAGGATCTCCTCCCGGGGATCGGTGGCCTCCACCGCCGCGTCGTGGTGCTGACGGCCCTCGGCGTAGCAGAAGGGGCGGGCGCCAAAGTTGGCACGGACTCGGGTGTTCTATCACGGGCAAGAAACAAGGGATCAGACTCGTCAGCCCGTACCTCCGCATGTTAACGTTTTCATCCCCCAAAATGCTCAACCCCGTGAATTGCTCTAACAGTTAGAATCTATGTTGCGCAACCTTTGGTTTAATTCAATCGATGTTCTATTATAGTGATTTACAATTTTGTGAAAAAGTCTAGTTCAAATGACGGCTGTTGTTAATTACGCCCAGAATTTTCTGAAAATTCATGTTCTTACAAAAACCAGCTACAGCCGATCAATTCAATACTAAATGCTCCGTAAAAAGGTTCCTCTACATCACACATATTTTTGCCTGGCAATTGGACGTAAAAGTGTGTGACAGAAGAAGAATATTCTCAACACAGAAATGAAAAAATTACGGTAAATCCTCAGACAAGTTTCTGTTCGTCCAACTCATCCAATTCACAGAACAGGTTTCTCAATCCTGGTTAATATCTAGACGGTGCGTGAGACTTCTTGTAAGACGCTTAACTCAAGCCCGTTGTCTTTTTTCCAAGAATCTCTTGATATTTCATTGCCAGAACCCACCCTCTTCTGGATGTGGACAACGGGCCACATTCCGCCGGCCACGCCGTCCAGAGTGGCCGGCAACCTCCGTCCGTTGTAGGTCAAGAAGACCCGCCCCCTGGCTTGCTGGCCGGGGGCGTGGCTACCCCCGTCGCCGTCCCGTTCCCAGCCGATGCCCGCTATGTCGCCGACGCTCAGCGTGACGTCCAGCCTCAGGCTCTTCCACTGCAGGAGGCTGGCTCCACTGTAATGCACACCCCTGCCACTACTAAGAAATGAAGCAACGTGGTGGCGAAAAAACAACAATTATATCTACACTAGGTTTTGAGGAAGAACAAACTTTACTTCCCCCGACAAACATCTCCTCGACAAAACGAAATCACCAAGCAGTAGTGCTCACAGCAGTACCATGTTAATATTTTTCATGAGTTGTGTGGATCTGGGAAGAACCAGTCAACTTGCTGAATTCGAAATAGTGCTTTGTCATCTCCTGACAAAAACTCTTGCATTGGTTTTCACTCCGTTTATTCTTTCTCTAAAAAATGTCCAATATCATTTGTCGTTGGTAACAGGTCCCATGTTATGTTTGAAATGGCTTGATGATCCAAGCACAGAATGATTCGGATCAAGCACTAAGGCAAGACACAGTTCAACACATTTACTGACTACATGCCACTTGATGCTGGCTACAATGGTCAAATTGACCAGACTACCATGGCTGGTTGCATCACTAGTCATCAACAGCCCTGTACATCACAAATGTACTGCGAGGACCCACGGGCTACCTTAATGTCACCTGATCATACATGCCCACTTTGCTGATAGCGTATAGGGTACAAGACATGCCACAAATGATTAAGATGCTCAATGGAGCAGCAACTCACGGTGCTGCTGCCCCAAGCCCCGCCAAAGCCAGCCTCAAGATTCTTCTAGCAGGCTCTCTCACGGCATCAAGCAAAACACTACGTCAGTAAAGGACCCACACCCGCTTATAACATTTGGAAAGAAGATTTTTAAAAAGTGATGGCTGATGATTTCTTACTTGTGAAAGAGGACAGTGCCGACGGGGTTGGTCCAGGCTCCTTCCTTCTTCTCAGCATGAGGGGCTAAGCCAAACGAGACGGAAGGACCAGACTCGTCACCGGAGTCACCGTTGGAACAAATCTCCAGTTCCCAGTAGAAGGAAGGGGCCTGCAGAACGACAACAAAGATTGAGCAAAAGAACCTTGAATGGATATATCCCTGGCTGTGGCCTACGCAACACAATACATAAAGAATCGCTGAGCATAAGGATCAGCATTGTAGTTATCTTAAAAAGATCACTTTCTAAAAGGAGGGGAAAAATTATACATGAGGGAGCATTTTTTAATGTAATTAACAGCGGGGATGGTAAATATATTTCATTTGAAAGCAGAAGAACGGAGCATCATAATGTTCACCATAACCTTAACAGACCTTACCTGATTCCAGAACTTCCCATCCGTAACAAAATGTAACATTTCTCCTTCACCTTTTGTCAACCAGTTTTTCTAGGCTTTGCCGGCTACACTGACAAAACCATTTTGAGGAAATTCTGTGGCTTTTGAATAAGAAGTCGTGCCCCACACTACAGGGAGATGACAACAGCCCTCAGTTCTGTTCCTTACCTGGCTTGGGACTGGCTGAGTGGCATAGCACATCACCCCTCGCGGGTATCCGCTGCCCGCGTTGGCATCTCCCAGGAAGGTCACTGCCGTCTGGTTGTGGGAGAACATGCAAGCTCTGGGTGGGGGAAAGCTGCGACTGGGATTCCAGCTGATGTCCTGGGACTGGGGGGGGGGAGAAATAAGTGTCAATATTGGTCACTCACTGGTAACACTCGCTATTGAGAGGCATCACAATTTATCGGTATACAAATGATGAAGTCTTGAGTGACAGATTGAGTGATCTATTCCATGAGGCAAAGCCGAGCAGAATAGAACATCCAACCTCTCACAGAGTGAAATTCTTCTCTCGACCGCACAAAGGAGAAGCATTCATTACCCATTTCTCAGTACTCATAAATCATCATCTCCAGACCGATACTCCATGTTTATCGGTGTCGCCCAAACATTTTGCATTTGTGTGAAGACCTTACCTACTGCAGGGTGCGCACAGCGCGCATGGCGTGCACGGGGCGCACACATAACAATGCTCTTGCACTGTGTGAAGAGAAATAACTCCAATTGCTGCGTGCTCGCAATACGACGGTGTCTCTAACAAGATCAACCACTGATGGTACTGAATAATTCATGATAAGATAAATACGACAGTGTCTCTAACAAGATCAACCACTGATAGTACTGAATAATTCATGATAAGATAAATACAACAGGGTCTCTAACAAGATCAACCACTGATGGTACTGAATAATTCATGATCCGATAACAACCCATTAATCAGTTGACAGGGATTTCGACAGATTTTATATGAAACAGGCTATTCAGGGCATGTTCAAGTTGTCACCCTCAGTCAAACTGAGTTAGCCCCCAGAAGCCCTCAAGGAACTACCATGCTTGTTGGGTAGCACGGCAATGGCTTTCCCAGGTGATTTGATTCCAATACGCATAAATTTCGAGAAGGTGGCAGTATGGCAAATGATCTGATTTGGAAATATGACGTGTTTGAATGGATCTAAACACATTCCACTCTAATTTTGACCCAAATCAAACTTGAAGTAAACAAAATATGGAGATTCGTAGTCTGACGTCATTTGATCACTTGTGCATTTAATGGAAAAGAAGTAGGTATCCAAGCGAAACACCCTGAGACCTTTGTTTCTACATGTCCTTGAGTAAAGGTCAAAAGTGGGCATGGAGCATACAGTTGACTCGTCTACCAACACTCAAGACAAATCAGGAAGCTACTTAAATGTATCTCAAAGTCACTTCGGTTTGAATCACCCTCAGTTCCTTAATTTCCTCAAACAACATCTGTGTGACGCTGCACCGGCCTGCGCCCACATTCCTAGCCACTGGAGAAAGGAGTGTCCAGTCATGCGACCTACCATTCTGGAGGTGACCTTTGCTGGTGGTGGCGGGGGTCGTGCGCAGTCCCTGTATAGCATCCGCAATCTCTGGCACTGGGCCTCCACGACAGACACCCTCTCACCTGCGACAACGAAAAACTGCTGGAAGTTTTTAAAAGTTCACTCATCTTCCTCACTAAATTCCTCCCCAAAGGTTCGACTCTATGACAACAAATCTACACCAGATTTTAAGTGGATGAGGGTTTGCCACAAAAATCACTGCTCAAAGAGCTTGTTGAAGAAAACGTACGGATGTCACCCCTAAAAGGCTGGAAGGAACTAATGATCAAAGGCTGCACAGCACAGAAAAATAGAAAAAAAAAACAAGATGAACACAAATGTGGCAGCATCATAATATCCATCCCTCCAAAGTGAGCTGACAAAACACAAACAGCACTGGCTCAAGAAGATGGGGTAATCATCCTTAACTGGTGCACAGGTCACTCTAGGGTTGATAGAAAATATAAAAAGGAGTTCCAGAGAAGGCCGGAACAGGCCATAAATTCCTAGCTACCTTTTTTTAATAGGCTACATTCCTGAATATGACGCAAAAAGACAAGTTTTACGGCAGGTTTTGACTGTACCTGAGCTGCACTGTTGAGCCAGGGATTTCAGGACTTCAACGGGCACAGACGACTGCTTAACAAACTCAGTGGCAAAGGACGGTTCCTTCATGTGAAGGGCCAGCACTGCACACGCTCTGTCCAAACAACGACAGGGATTGGTCTGTTTATGCACAAGGCAGTGACCATCATCACTTCAGCATTCACAACACTTTAGTGTTGACAAGTCTCTTGGCATCCAATGACCACTATGGCCATATGACCGCTCATTTCCACTCTCACCATCACACCCTTTCTTAACTCCACTGCTAATCCCTCCCATTGGTAATTTACCACTAACCGCTACACCATTTCACCCCTCATCTCACCACTAGACCCTTCCTCACTTTGACCTAATTTCAGGTAACACCCTTTATGCCACTGCTAGCTTCCATTTGCAATTCACCACCAACCCCGTCACCATTTCATCCCCTTATCTCACCACTTTATTCTCCCTAACCTTGACCTGATCTCAGCCAACACCCCACATGCCACAGGTTACTTCCTCCCATCTACATTTCATCACCAACCCTTTCACCATTTCAACCCTTCAACTCACCACTTCACCCTTCCTCACCTTGACCTGACCTCAACCAATACCCTACATGCCGCTGCTTACTTCCTCCCATCTGCCATTCACCACAAGCCACTTCACCACTCAACCCCATCTCACCAACTTCACCCTTCCTCACCTTGACCTGATCTCAGCCAGCACCCTGCATGCAGCCATGGCCAGACTGCTCCCATCACCCACAGCGGGCAATGCCACAGTGACAGGGGACATGCCTCTCTCCTTCCTGGGCAACAAGAGGCTATGAAGTGCAGACACCACACGCTCCGTCATGGACAGTTGCTGAAGAGGAAGGGTCTAGATGCAAAATGCGAAGAGAATAATTCCAATTTATCTCAATTATGCACATACATTATTCACAACAAGACATGTAATTGCTCTAAGATCATAATCCCTTTGATGTCCTAAACTGTCATTTAACAAACAACATGCTGGGGTGCAGAAGTGCAAATTAACGTTGAGATGGTCGACTTAGCGAGATAAAGTTTTCAAAGTTGAACACGCTTGAACTTAGGCAGATGTCGCCCAATTTTTCTTGACATGAATTTACTTTGCAACCGCACCCGTAATGACGGTGAAATAGACTGGACAAAATTTTTACATATAAAGTATAAAAGCAACCAGTACACATGACAGAAAAAGAAACGCACTTCAATCTGGACGTTACTCATAATACAGATAGTCAATCCTTTTACTGAAGAGAAATTGTCCACAGGAATTATGATGTAAAGATGCTTATTCTGAGAAGCAAGAACTATATGCAAACAGGGACAAATATGCCATTTGCCTATTTTAAAATTCTATAATATGAAGCCAATAATTGGAGTCTATTCTAACGTGAATATAACCATTTCCTGCCGGGTGCTTTTAAAAATGTGGTGCCTACACATGGGCGATTTTTCAATATCTTCGGTTTTCAAAAATCTTCAAAAATTCTTATCTTTTTTTCCCAAACTCCTAAACCCCATGGAGTGACTGTCTGGTGGCTACTCTAATCTGACAGACAACATCTATTGAGGCCGAGTATTTCAGCCAGGCCTGCCGCCTTGTAAAAAGAGTCCAGATTGTGCGGTGTTATGTAATTTTCTTTTGTTCCCCAAACTGGCACAGTGCCGGGCATCTTTTCAATAGGGGCCAGATTAGCGTGCAGCAGTATTGTATCACTCATCCCTGGAGCACTGGAGTGCTTTTGTCCCCGGTGGTAATCCACTTGCACTGAATGCCACAAACAGTGGTATAATATTTCAAAACAATGACAGATTTCCTCCGCTATTGACAACTGAAAAAATGTTGGCAATTTCCAGCAGCGGGTCTTTTGTTTCGAGTACGGTCTCTTGTTACAAGGCCCAGCCCTTTTGTGCGATTTTGGGCACCCCGGTTACGTGTACAAACCCAAGGTACCTGAAACCAGGCTCCCCGGCAGGATAGGGTTAAACATTTGAAGTATGCGAGAGGTCCAAGATCAGGCCAACACCAGAGACAAACCAAGAGTTACCTCACTGCTAGGAGGCTGCAGCCTGGACAGAGGGACCTCCAACGTGTTGTTGGCTCTTGGGATGGTCATATCCTTGGTGATAACAAACTCCACTGTTGCAACTCCCTGGGGCTCCGATATGCTGATGACGTGACCCAAGAGAGGTCGTGACCCCTCACCTGTGACCTGAAAGGAGATTTTTTCTTGTCTTTAGTCTAAGAAAGTGTGTACTGTGCTCCTAGTAGTGGTTAATCACTCATATTTCGACATCCTGCTAAAAATGGAAAACTTTATGAGAGAAAACCACAGACAGTCTTTATTGATTTCCGATGCGAAACAGTTCCTTCGAGATTTGTCACTAAAAAGTGATTTAATCAACTTGTTTCACTGGGTTGGGCCACACACATATCTACAATAAGCATCATAGGTAGAAATTAGCATGTAACATTGTTTCAGTATTAATGGGTGAAAATGAATGTAAAATGGCGAAAAACATTACAGGATCAAGGAAATCAAGGAAATGAATCAGTATGACGTGGTTATGATTGACCTTACCTGAACTTTGGAGCCAACTTTGATGCTTTCCTTGAAGCCTCCCAGGGCACAGAATGCTGCCACCACTTGGCGACAGATGGACATGAGTCTGGTGACAGACTCGCCCTGGGGCTGGCTGTTAAGCAGTGAGATGTGACTAGTCTGGTGGGAGGTCAGCTGGGAGACCAGTGTCAAGGCATGAGACAGAACCTAAAAACAAAACAATGGAATACAGTTTGCACACAGTTCAGGTTTCCAAATTAGAGGTGGTGCAAAGCAATGAGCACTGCTGAAGCAAAGTGCTGCGTGTCTCTTTAAAAATTTTTCAACGGGATGAACCGGGATTTTCTGCAACTCTTCCCAAGAGGTAGACGCTACCCAATTCGTGGAATCAGATTCTTGAAATCTACAAATTGTGTACTGCATTAACCTTTCTACGAACGTTCCCTAAGAAGAGATAATTATGAGGTCGGACAAGGAAGAAAAACTGACATGCAAGCTTGTTAAAAATCACTGAGTACATCTGCCGTCTGCATGTTCTGGGTCGGCTTTCTCCTTGCGTGGTAATAGGGGGGTATGCTTTCTTGTCAAGCAAACTCTCCACAAACAATAAAAGAGTAACCCTGCCTTCCGAGTGCGCTCTCACTTACTCTTTCCACAGCAGATGCCCAGATGAGGGCGGTGTGCGTCTCGGGAGCAGTCAGCAGGCTGTGCAGGAGGCCGATGACCTCTGAGGCCATGCTGTTGGCAACGTGGCCACTGATGAACGGTCGGACGGGATCAGTTCTGAAGACGAGACAGAGAAGATAAAGACCTAACCTATCAGACTCTTCAGGGACTCTTTACCCATGTATCCCATCAACAGCGAGAGACTACAATCAGAAACTGGAATGCTACAGCTTGTGTGTAAACAGTGACCTTGCAAAGACACCAGCAATTTTGTGCACATTCTGGTGAAAACTTGGAGTGGAAAATCTGCATCATCATACAAACCAGTACACTACACATATCTTCAGCCAATGGTTTGTCCACCATCCTTTAACCACCTCCATCCCTTACTGATCCAAAGCTACTCAGGAATGAACTGGGAGTTGTAAAAAACTTAAACAAATGGAAAACATAGAACTTCTAAGCTGCATAACCTTTTTACAATACTCAATTTAAAAAATGGCAAAAAGCAAGGAAAGCAGTTGATCTAAGGAAACGTTGCATGCTGTCACTACATCTCTTTACCCCAATCAAGCAAGCTCCTCTAACTCCGACCAAAATCCACCCAACGCCCCGATCACCGCCACCATCTCTCCTGCCTCCCCCCCCCGACACACACCTACCTCGCCAGTTCAGCATTCTTCTCTCTGCAAATCACCTCCGTGGCCACCTTCTTCTTCTCTTTGCCGTTTTCGTTGGCGACGTCATTGTTGTTCTCCACGGGGGGCCCGGTGCTGACCACCAGCCCGCCCTGCGCCCACTTGGAGGCCTTGCGGATGGCCGTGTTGGCCTCCTCTGTGAACACCTCAGCTTTGCCATACTGCAGAGATACCACAAACACAACCATGTTTTTTCAACTGTATCTGTTTTTGCATTCCTCACAAAAAGACTTGAGTCAGAACTTGCTTTTTCCGGAGGATAAAAGCAACAGGTGCTTGGCAAATTACATGTGATTTATGTCTCTTTCTGACACCGATACGTCCCAGTGGGCATTGAAAGTCCATTTGACCTCAATTAACTAGGCGTTTTTTGTGGCATGTTGAAGTCACAAACCTTGGTCATTTCTCTGTCCATCCGAACAACTTTCTCCATGTTGGCTCCACTCCCGAGTCTGAAAGGCCGGCCATCAGAACTGCTGGATTCAGACAGATCAAAACAGTCCATGGTTAGTATCCATCACATTCCAACAACCAAATCCCCAGGAATCTACAAAAAATACTCTTGACATTAGACTGCAAAATTTCAGCAGTCAAGGGCTGGGGAGACATCATTAACTGCTCCAGCAAATCTTAAGAATACTGACCCAAAGTTGCATTCATTGCAAATATATTAAAGGGGATTTTTTAGATACTAATCAATACTACAAGGATACAGAAAAGATCTAAGGTGGCCCTTGAGTGCCATTCATGCTAAAAAAATACCACAGATCATGCTACAATGAACAATTGGATTCTTTCTTACCCAGTTTAGGTTTAAATTGAAATTCAGAAGTGTAGGCCATACAGAGGTGGATTAACACCTCTAGCGAATGTGAATTTCAAGTTAAATTAACACTTCAAAACACCTTCATGGAATTTGCCAGAACTTTTTCCACGTTTCCACGTTTTCACCAAAGTATGGGCGTTTCACAATAGTGCACAACCAAGAATTTGCAATGCATTGGCCAATCACAAAGCGCGAAATGTGTTGACCATTTCTAAACACACACTGCCGGTTGACACGTCCGGATGCATCAACCGACTCCAATGCGCATTGCGTACAGTCGTCACCATGTTGCAAACTTTTGCCGCTGCACGACTGTGAAATGCCCGCATTCTCTTTTGCAAAAAGAATGACCAGCGTTCAGATATTTAACAGCACTCTGTCGTAACAGAACACAATCAAATCCATCCAAAAACCGTGACAAAATAAGAGCAAACAATTTGATCAACGTGACCAAAAATCCAATTAATTCTCGCACAAAATGAGGTAAATTCAAGAGTTTCCGACCTGAGAAGCGGCTGTATGACCTCATGAGAGGACTGGTCCTCCCTCTTGTGAATGAACACGGAGATGCGGCCGTCTTGGGCTTCCGACTCCTCGCCCTTGTCTCTGTCGCCACTGGAGGGCACTGCTACCTGAGTGCCGTCCACACTGACGGAGTTAGAAATGTCTGTAGATGCGGTGGTCTGGCAGCCTGATGTAATCACAGAATAAAACGGACAATACGAAAGAAACATCAGTAACAATTACAAGGAGTGGGGTCAACTTTGACCACACTGACCAATATAGCGCCATGGGTCTACATAGACGAATCCAGAGATGTTTCACTGAATGTACCAGAGAACCCCCCTTCATTAAAGTGTAGAAAGCACTGGAATAGGACACTGGCTCCACACAATGGTTAACACAATGCTTAAGGCCAATGACGGGGGACCACTGCAAAGGACCAGAGATAACATTACAATGGTCACCGGATGCACCTATACTTTTATAACCTTTGGTCATCAAGACAAGTATTCCTCACACCATCTCAGCTCTTTGAAAGAACTCAGCTGTACTTTTGCCATTTCACTAAAAAGCGCAACTCAAACAAATAAATGTCCCATTTCTGCTCTACGCAGAGGCTCTTTCGCAACGAATCTTAAAGCACGTTCAATGAAAAAATATGGACGGCTCTAAGATCTCTTCCACAGAACATTAAACAAACAGGATTTAGACGGGTTCATAAGACCAAAGCTAGAAGCACAAAGAAAAATAAAAATCAGAATGAAAATCAATCTTCACAAACAAAATGAAAGAACATGCAAACAGGGTCATCCAAGCTCTAAGCCTCAGTAAATACCTAGCACAAGAATACTCCGACGACCAATTCAGGTGTAGTGTGAAAGTGATCATACACCCACACAAGATGTTTTCAAAAGTTGAACTCAGGCAACCTTCACTGCGAACATTTTGTGATGTCACATGTGCTTTGCTTTCGCGTTTGCTTTAAGTACGAACTGGCATTAATATATATAAGATACCTGGCACGACGTAGTCCCCCAGCTTAGCCAGCAGCAGGCTGGCAATCTTGGCCGGTGGGTCGCCTAGCTGCTCTTCCCCCTCGCCTTCCTTCTCCCCTTCAGCACCGGCACCGGCCATGGCGGAGGCGGCGTCCGCTCCCCCGAGCAGCGTGGACACCTCCTGGCCCCAGCAGGGCAGCTGCACGCTGGCACAGTCCTCGGCGCTCATCAGGGGCAGCGCCACCCGGCACAGCTGCAGGATGATCAGGACCAGCTTGGGGGAGGGCCGCTGGTCTAGGAGGAGGGACAGAAGCTTGGAGACGCAGGCCGGCTGGCTTAGGATGGCTTTGCCCATGCGGCTCCTGAAAATATCAACACAATTTCAACAGTGTATTTTCACGTGTCTCTTAGGTTTTCAACAAAGTGAGAATTTAAAAAGGGACGGTTATTTCTTCACTAAAATACAAGAATACGGGTCACTTTATTTAATTTTTTTTTCCATGATTTGTTATTGACTGTAGTTAAATAAGCAAAGTTTTCTTACTAAGGTTTTGAATGAGTCAATTTTGGGTTCCAATTTGAAAAGAAAACCATGTGAATGAACTCTATCTTTCTTGAATGACGTCAAAGCAACAGTGCTCTCACTTATATCAGAAAAGCACGAAAACTTTTTAATGCTTACAAGAGAACACTTCTCAAGAAGAATGACCAGAAATACTCATCACATCTCCTATGAATTTAAGAGAAGCAGAGAGTTGCAAAAAACTGGTAACCGAGTACAATTTTTTTTCATTGGTCCTTTCAAACACCTTCAAACTGTCGTACCTCGACAGCTCATTGAGCAGGCTCAGGACTTCCTGTAGAGCCTCGCTTCCAGCTGCCTCATTCCCGCTAGACTCTGTGGCTCGTGCCAGGTGATTGGTCAATAGGCTGGAAACCTGACGGGCCAGGCCAGCATGGCCTAGTGCATCGTGGCATGTCTCGTCAGCCTCCCAGGAGACACAGCGATTGGCCAGCACCTGTTAAAACACAATTCAACAGATGTAATTTGTAAAATTATAAACTAACTCTTGATCTTCAGCGTGATACATTAAACTAGTTGCTTTATAGTTGAATGTGGTTCTAAGCCCGGGAATTTTCAAGCACCTTATGAACAAAACAATCCAATGCTCTAACTTGAAAGAATCAAACAAGGCTAATCCAGACATTTCCTTCCTTTTTGCACAGTAACTGTGGTTCACTGCCTTGCTTGAGGACACAGTTAGGATTACATTCTGGATTACACACAACTACATATAATTGCAAACTACATCTCACATCAAAGATATAATGTAAAAATCACACTGCCACAGCTTAAGAGCATCCATTTCAAGGTCATTCTTCCCATTCCTCACTTTTAACTCATCCCTTTTCCTGTTAACTATTTTGCCTAGACAGTTTATACTCTTAAACAAATTGGCTAACAATCGCTTCAAAACAATTTGTTAGAAACTGAAAACATTAGAGGACCGGATGCTTAAAAAGAAGTTATTTTTAATGAACGTTTAAAATATTGTTGAAAGAGAAAACAAGGTTCAGTTTCCGATTTGAATTGTTCTCAATTACCTGAAAGCCAGCCCACGCCAGGGCTGAGACCAGCTGCTTGGTCGTCTGTGATTCTGATGACCCAGCACTGATCCCACCGCTGCCACCGCTGCCGGAACCTAGACTGCACAGTTGATCAAGCACTTGTACTAGGCCGCTGTCTACCAGACACTGCTCCTCCCTCCTATGCATACACACACACCACAGATTATATAATGACTGAAACTAGACCAGCAAAGGCAGTACAAAGATGTCCATTTATCCCTGTATTATACTGTTGCAACTGTCATTTGTAAGCAGGCTGTTCAACTTCATAAGACAAAAACACTTACTTCAATCGATTTGTGGACTTGATAAAGAAGCCCCAGCAGGAGAATCAGTACCGTGACACTTTACAAGAATCATTATTTCACGACCAGGAAATCATGATAAGATATTAACAAAGTACCCCGTAGTACCATTTCTGCCATACATATGTGCTCAAAGGCATGGCACTTTTGATGATGTTTAAGTCTACAGGTGCATAATGACTTGAAGCCATGTCAAAAGCCCAGAGGCTAGTCCAAGCACATGAGCCATACCAGTCAAAGCTTAAAGTTGGTCAGGATTTAATGGTTTCCTTTCCACGGTTCCTCACCTGGTGTATGGGATTGTACACAGTAGTCCTATGCTGTTGGCGCATGCCACCGGGTGGGCACCAGCTAAGGTCACCACGGAGGTCATGGTCTCGGAGAATGCTTGTTGGACCTCATCCACCATACCTCCACAGGCAAGCTCATTGACCCTACACATATGCAAAGAGTTGAAAATGGCCCGTTACCAAACTAAAACCATCTAAAGCTTATATGAAAAATGGTAGTACCATGTAAATGCAGTTCAAAAGCAAGACAGTGGAGATAGTTGAATGTAACTGCCACCATTTTACCAGTGCCGATACAAAGGCACTACGGGTTTGTGCCCATTCAAATGAAAAACGTGCCTACGTACGGGCACTTACTACCAAAAACAGAAAGAACACATGTCCCCCATGGTAATGTACAACACATATGCATCCACACTGTTCCATAATCTAGAGCTGTTTATAAGTGGTCATAAAAAATTCACTGTCACAGGAGGATCCACACCTCATTCAAATATTAATATCACTTTGTGCCAATACGTAACATCCTCATCATGAATCCCTCATGTAGGATGATGGATTTCTCTCAACTCTACGACTTTCACATACATGGACAGAACTACTTCAAAGGTTCTTATCTCTGCCTGGGACATGTAACAAGGCATGTGCATGGAAGAGGTGCCCATATCTACATCTAACAGCCAAAAAAATTTCTCATATTTGCCCAAATGGTGGTCTGCAGCACAAATAGTTCTTTGCCTACAAGATAACATTTTAACTTTGAATTCTTCAAGCTCGATGGACGGAGTGCATCCAAGCATCCAACAAGAGGGACAACCCCTAATAGGCAACCTCCACTATGAACTCTACTAAGTGCCTTGGTGCTCACCTTGGGCCATTCTGAATGACCGAGGTCACGGCCACCAGGAGGTGCATAGCTCCGCCCACCTTGCTGGCGGCCAGCAGCAGCTGTTTGATGTGAATCAGGGCCTGCTTGCGAGTGCTGCCTCGCCTGGAACGTACCCTGGCTGCCGACAAGAAGCTCTCCAAGGATACCTGCAGGAGGTTGAGAGGCTACATTACAGCTTTCAGGGGCCATCACAAATAACCTAATTCCCGAATCAGCCATACTGAACTGATACCAAGGTTAATATTTTTCATTTTGGAATCCTAAGAATAAAAAAATGAAAGCAATAAAAGAAAAGTTCATTACAGATCAATTTCATTTACAATGATGAATCACTTAAAATCTGTGGTTTATCATACATATCTGAATAGGAAAGTGAGACATGGAACCTCAAATAGTCTGGCACCATACCATTTGACAAATTACACTGAATATGATAGATTCAGGGAACGTGATTACAAAATGGCTTCCTTGTCAATAAGGTCTACTGGGCAACCAAGCTGTGCAGTAAATTGTCATCAGGACAGAGTTGCTGGGACTACCAGCCACCAGAAAATTGTTAGGAAAGGACTGAAGAAACAAAGAACATAAAACAAAAGAATTCAAGACACTTGAAGGCTCAGAATATGAGCTTTGTAACAGGATTTTATTATGAGTGCTCTTTGTATGAAGAATTGGTTGTTATTTGTTGGTGAGGACGAAGGAAATGTGCCCACTATAAGATCTCTCGATAATCAACAGCATTCTTTTAAGGCAAGTGTTTGCAAAGTCATACATTTTGGTCACTTACATGCAGTGCCAAATTGTTTGAATTATTTCAAAATTGTTACTGGAAACAGCAATATGCACATTAAAAACATACAAACATGGTTCCCACACCTGAAGGACAGTTAAATTGCATGACTTTCCATGACCAAATGATAAAAATTCATGACCCAATAACGTAATTTCTTAGGCTATGCAGACTTTTAAATTTGTGAATAAAATCACACATTTTATGCACTTATTTCTGATAACAAAAAACACACACAAGTTTGAAAAATTCCATGACTTAAGTTATTTTTACAAAATTCCATGACTTTTCCATGACTTAAGTTATTTTT